GAAGACCTACGTTCAAATCTCATCTCTGATGTTCCCTACTTGTATGATTTTTGGCCTTTCCTCATCTGTAAAATGAGGGAACTATACTAGATGACCTCTGAGGTCCTTTCCAATTCAAAATTTATGATCCTATGAACCCTGGGGAAGAGATAAAAGGGGGGTAGGGACAGAAGAGCCCAAAAGACTACTACAGTTCTGAGAGAAGGAAGAGCAGTGTGACTGCGGGCATAAAAGAAAATAAGTGCTTACAGAGGAGGCCTGGAGAGAACAGGTCAAGAACATCAGGCACAAAAAAGAGGTGAGCCACCAACACATTGATCATGTGGGGTCAAGAGTCAAGCTAAGTGCTCCACCTGGCTGCCAAGAAAACAGGGATGAATGAGAAGGTTCAGGTGACTACACTAGTAAAACTCACTGGAACTGATGCTCCAAAACCTGTACTGCAAAAAACACACAGTCATGGATATTCTGGAATAGTGGCCTCTTGAGGGGACCTAGAGGGACAGAATGGAGCATTAGCCAAGTGTATTTTCATCTTAAGAGTTGACCCACAACATGCTTCTGCATGGAATGCTCTCCTACTGACCCTGAGGCTGGGTTCCAGGTCATCTTCTTCAACACCAATCATTCGTCGGACAGTAAGCAGCTGAAGAACAAAGAACAGCTCCAAGAAGAGGCTTGGGACCAGATTCTCTGAAGAAAAGTGAGGGACATGAAAGTACTGAGTCCCTTTCACTTCATATTAAGTTTCTCCCACTGCTTCATCAACTTTCTCTTGCCTCGTTCTCTACTGCAGCTCCCCTGGACAGAGATTACTCACCAGTAATACAGGATGAATAGACCACAGCTACCAACTGCAGCCTCTGCTGACAGGAAACCTTGCCAGGGTCTGCAGGTTCTGGTGTAAGGCTCCCAGTTCGACTGGGAAGAGGAAGACCAGATTCCAGGGCAGAACCGACAGGTGCGGGTGACTGATGCCAGCTTAAATCTGAGGGTATATAAATAGGAGGACATTAACCACACTCGGGTCTGTCTTTTCCTTTGTTCCAGAGCCCCCAAAACTCTGCAGGGAATTCCAAAATGGGAAGTGTGCCCAAATAAAGGATCCCACAGTTCCCAGTAGGGAAACAATAGCCCAAACAGCCCTGCAGATTCCCTCGTGAGAGGCGACATCCCAAAGAGAAGCAATGCCATACCGCTCCTTCCTGAGCATCTCTCTCTCTTCCTGGAGACTGCCGCACCCTTGGGGAGGGTCAAGGTCCCAAGGACCATTGTCCAAGACTTGGGGCTGGGAACTCGGGGCCTGGCTGATTGGGGGTGAGGTGAAGCAGATCTTGGGCTTGGAGAGAGATCGCTCTGCGCTCACCCTGGTTGGGTTGATCCTCCGGGAAGGTTTCACCCTGCTAAGAGCCGCCACAGGCTTTCTTCAAACTTCTATTCCCGAAGACCTATCTTCTCCAACCCTTTAACAGTCTGCCCCGTCTCATCACGGGATCACGTTTAGAGGTGGAAGGGACTTAAAGTCCCTCTAGTCCAACCCCCTTATTTGACAGATAATGAAACTGATGTCAGGGAAGGGGGGATGCTTTGTCCCAGATCGCACAGGTACTAATGGGGTGGATTTCAGCCTTTAAATCAGCATCCTGAACTCCAAACCCCGCCCCCCATAAGTTTTTTCTCATCCCCAGTCCCCCAGAGAACCCTCACTTTGATGCTGTCCCTGATATGGCCGCATGCAACACCAGGACTTTGATCGGTTCCAATGATCAGTGCCGCCCCCTCCCCCCCCCCCCGCCTCATCTCCTGGGAAGAACATGTATTGGGGGGGTCCTCACCCAGCGGGGCCAGGGGGCATGGAGCCCACGGGGGGGAACTCCTCTAGGTTGCTGAGGTTCAGGGGCTCAGCGGGCGAGGAGCTGGGGCTGCTCGAAGCCCTTGGCCTCCAGCCCCCTCCCCAAGGCGGGCTGTCTCCGCTGCCCCCCTCCTCCGGGCCCCCCGCGCCGCGGCCCCCCCTCTCCCGGACGGGTCCTCTCCTCCTCCCGCCCCCTCCGCGGCGGGCCAGCGCGGGCTCCCCGAAGGAGGTGGCCGGTGGCTCGGCTGAGGCCGGGAACAGCTGGCTTCGCACCCCGCGGCCGCTTCCTCGCGCCGCGCCGGAGCCCCCCGGCCGCCCTGCCGAGGCCCCGGGAGCCTTGGCCGGGGTCGGGGGGCCCTGGGGGAGGGCGCGGCTGCTCTGCTCGCGCAGGAAGTTCAGCAGGAACGGCACGAATTCCTTCCGCAGCGGCTCGAGGGGCGCCAGCGCGGCCGCCTCCCCGGGGGCGTCCTGGAGGGAGGGAGAAGAGTGCGGGAGGCCGGACCCGGGAGCCCCACAGCTCGCCCGGGCCCGGCCCGCCTCCCCCCCGTGGGCCCGACAGTCCTGGCCTGCCCTTCCCGGGGAAGGCCCGGTAGCGGCCGCTACGCGCCTCCTACCTCCGCGCCCCAGACTCCGCGCGCCAGCCAGCGCACGGCGACCGCCGCCGTCACCTCCTCCCGCAGCAGCGCCTCCAAAACGGCCGCCATCCCGGCTGGGGCGTCCCTCCGCGACTGCGCAAGCGCGCGCGCGCGCCGAGAGGCGGGGCTCGGGCGCCGAGCAGCCCGACCGTTGGCCGCCCGAGGCTGCGAGAGCCGCTGAAAGCGCGGGGCGAGCGGTGGGCGGGGAGAGCGGCCGGAGGCCAGCCTGCGAGCGGGTTGGGCCGCAGGGCGGTGAGGAGCGGGAAAGGGAGGCTGGCGAGCTGCTGCCCCGGAGGGAGCCCCCAAGGGCGTGAGGTGGCGCCCGACACTGCGCGGCCGGACCCCGCCCGCGGAGGAGGAGGAGGAGGAGGTGGAGCGAGCGCGCGCCCTCGAGGTAGGGAGGAGGAGCGCCCGCCCGCCGCCAAGAGGGGGCCCCGGCCTGCGGGCTCCGAACCCGGGCTCCCGACTTTGTGCTACTTTGCTAACTTCTCGCCAGTATCCTCGGCTTCCAGTCACAGCGTCTTACTCCGTGCATTTACAAACGCCCGTCTTCGAGCTTCACCAGGCGTCCGAGACCCTCGCTGACCACCACCTGAGCCCGTGCCCTCCATGGCCCTGCGGGGGGCCTCCAGGCAGGCCACACTAGTGGAGCCTTGTTCAGTTTACGCGAAACTTTGGCAGAAACCTCGCAGTGAAGCTCTCTAAAATTATTTTTTAATGCCTGTGAACTAGACGCGAGGTTCATTTAAATGTTTGAGGGTTTCTTGCAGCACAGTTGGAGAAGCAGTGGCTAGCTCCTTTCAGTTATTTTACAAGGTCGGGAAACAGTCTGGGAAGTGTAGTAACTTGCCTACAATCACATATCTCGGGTAGTAAACGGAAGGTAGGATTTGATCCCGGGACCTTGGCCTCAGAACCTAGCACATTCTGCGAGAGAGGCTGCCATCTCCGTGCTCCTAGTTACATTAGATGTATTTTGTATGTGTCCTTTATTTAATCAAAGCTTAGCTGGCTTAGAATAGCAACTGAATGCTACTGAGGAAGGTTAAATTTGGAGAAATTCCTAAGAATTAGGACCAGTCCAGGACCTTTCCTTTGCTACAGAAGACCCCATCCCCCTTCCTCCATCTATTTTCTCAGGGATTGTTAGAGGGTTTTTTCTAGCCTGATTCCTAGACCTGGCCTGCCAGAATGTTTCCTGTCCTCACCGTTTACAGCTCCTAGTACCTAGACAGTGCCTAACCACCAGTTCCTGTATTTTTGGTTTTGTTTTCTTTTTGCATTTACATAAATCAGTAAAACCCATGACACAGTACCTCATTATATGGCAAAGTTGGCTATATTGTGAAATCACATCTTCCCCCGTGTACACAGTACAAATTCACTATGACAAAAGCATTTTGATTCTTACCTGTATTTATGCTATTATTATAATGCAGTTAAAATATATCAAGGACTCTTATTGTAGTAGCCAGAGAAATAAGCAAATAGATCCTCATGACCAGCTTCAGGTAGTTTTAATTGCTGTCCCTTAGAAATCTGACCTGACCCAGAAAGGCAGGTTGTTCTCAATGGCATGAGAAGAGGAACTGTGAATTCGATGAACACCAAAATCTTTTACAGGACAGATAGATGCTCAGGTTACTGAAGAAAGAAATGGGCAACTAATGACAACTAATACCATTAGATGGCACTAATGACAAAAATTCCAGGTCAAACCAGCCCTGTTAAGACAGTTCCCTTTATTTCAAAGGAAGGTTACAGAAGAGAGGAACAATTTGCATTACTAGGCATTACTGTGGTAGCAAGGGAGTTTCCCATGGGAGAAAAAAGTACAGTAATTTACAAGCTGTGTACAGAGCACCCATATATCTGCATAAGTCTGGAGTCAGGGCCTGTGGGGGAACAGACTCAACAGAGGCACCATACCAACCCGTTGTGACAAACCCTGGGCCAGGTGTGCAGGGCTGAGCATTTCCCAGTTACCACTTGACTGAAGATTCTTGGAGGGACAAAGGGAACTGCTATTTGACTTCAGTGTTGCACAATTAAGGCAGTGTGGTCCAGGAGAAAGTGCTGGATTTGGTCAGGTCAGAGGACCTGAGTTTAAATCCCATCTTTACCATTTACTGACCTGTTTGTGACCCTGGGCAAATAGTTTAACCTCTCTGGGCATCAGTTTCCTCATTTAAAATGAGGAGGTTAGACTAGACTTCTATGTTCCCTTCCAGCTCCAAATCTGTGAATCCCATGGGTGAGTTTTAAATGTGGTGTGGTTGCCAACATCTGTTTTGCTTCTTTACCCTATGATTTGGGTCACTGCTGGAGGTGAACTTGCACTTAAAGCAGCATGTGCTGTTTTCACCCTTTATGTAAGGGGAAGCTTGAGATTGGTAACCGGTAGATGTAAGAAACTTAAAAATAAAAAATAGAATCAGAAAAAAAGGTGACTTTTTGTAGCATTTCTTACTCCTCATAACCAAATGATCATAAAAATGCAGTCAGAGCTGGAGTTTGCATGCGGAATGAATATTTTATTACTAGTTTATAAAAATAAAATACAAAATAATTTGAAAACAGAACTTAAAACACTGTACAAAGCCTTAATATGATACAAATGGGAAAATTAAATAAATAATTACACTTTTATGTACAAACGGCCGATATGAAAGCGCTCATGTTTCTGCAGATACCTTATGTCCTTGGTTGCCTGAGCAAAAAATGGAGGGAAAAAAAGGGGAAGGGTGTTGTTTGTAGGGGACACTTTTGTATACAGTACCTTTGGAAGGAAATAAAATCAGAAGACAGTCTTACTAATGTGCCATTTACATCAGTACCTAAATATTTTCACAAAACAGCTTCTCATCTTCCTAGGTCCTGTCACTGATTGACAGGGGGTCAAGTAGAATCATCAAATGAGCATTCAGGTAACTTATTTGTTGGATTCACTAAGAAAGAAATCCTACCCTTAACTTGCTGTTTGAGTCTGATTTAGCAGCCACTAACAATTCACAGCTTCCTAAGTTTACTTCCTGGTTCAAAACTTTTTCCTGTTTTAAAAAGTTAGGAATGTCTAGGTAAAAGAAAGTGGCACAATGATGTAGGCATTGGCTGTTTGAGGAAAGCAGCCAAAAGCAGAACCAGTATATAACTGAAACCTAGTGTGGAGTGTTCCCCAAAGAGCAGCATGTTCAAGGAACCTAATGGACCCAGACTGAAGCGTCTGTGGAACAGACTTCATTCTACTTTCATCTTTAATCAGTCTGCCTTCTCTGCGGGTGTCTTTTCATGAAAATCTTGAGTGGCCCAATTTTACAGTTTGGTGCCATCTCTTATCTTAGTAACCAAAAACTCTGTGAGTAGTTTGAAAAACTCATGGATTTTGAAGTCTTGTGACTTCTTCCACCCCAACTGCCTCTTCCCTCTCCCCTCACCCCACCCCTCCATGGATTGATATTCAAGCACTGGTCTTTTAGGGTCTGAGAAGAAATAGATCTATTTACCCCTTAGAAGTGAATGAAAATATGCCCACATGAAAGAAAAAGTACATTTAAAATCAAACTGACAAAAAAAATCTAGTTTCTGTGATGTGAGTGACTTAGAGATATGAATTGCAATTTGTATAACAGTACAGTATTGTATCCTGAAAGCTCATCTGACTTACTAAGGAACTTCACAACTAGGCTGTGATCTGTACAGTTTCTTAAGCACCCAAATGTGGCACCCAATATTTGCTAAAGATAGAGGGAAAGTATACCAGACGAGTGTTCATAACAGTTTGTGTGATCAGCAGCCTCTACAGGGCAAGAAACTATTTACTCAATGACCTGCTTCATTTTTTCCCCCTCGTCTAGGTAGATGGGCATCTGGGGAAAGTAGGGCTGCACAGCTCATGATAAAAAGCAAGCTCATGATAAGGAAGCAAGTTGTACCCATCCTATCATTTCTACTATACATTAGGAGGACATTCAGAATTCCATTATGACCTCATAAGGGAATGACAGGAAGAATGCCAAATTATTGTTCTTGAAATTTACTGTTGGAAACAAAAATGGGAGGGAAGGACATGAAGAGGGAATGGGATTCAAGTAATTACTAAACATGTAGAAGACTCACTCCTTGACTCTGTAACTTTCTCAGTTTCTGTGTCTAAAAGCTCTAGGCAGTCACCAGATTGCAATAAATGCCAAAGTGATGCTTTATCTGGTCATGTTTGTCTTATGAAGAACCTTTACATACAATTTTATTTTATTTTTTGTACAAGGACATCAAATCACCAAATCTCTGCTTCACAGAGGAGTTTGGCTTTTTATAAAGTAGTGTCATATCTAGCAGGGAACACTGGATCTGGGAGAACATGGGGTATGAGGCATCCAAAACCAAGGAAGCATTCACTCACTGGACTCACAGAATGACTTCAAAAATTTTCTGTGTAGCTTTTGCTACTCTCCCTTGCTATGTTGGGATACCCAATCTCCCTTTCCATAATGTGCAGTTCCTATAAGATCCAAGGTTTGTGGGTAAACCTGCCCACTGTGTGGGGGGGGAACAGCAAAAATTATTAGAGTTTTCTTAAATGGTGCTGTAAACCCACCGCGGTTACGTTCCGTGGGAGCAGGTGTAGGGGTTCCTTGACACAGTTACCCTGACCCATTCCCTCCAAAATCAGACTGTTGGGAGTTTCAGATCACTCCCCCATGCTGAAGTCGAGTGTTATCATGCACCTGTAGGTTCCCTAAGCTAAGTACGTGATGATCTTGGGGGAAAGCCACGGTGGCTACGTCCCTTGAGCATTAAACATTTCTTTCTCTCTTTTATTTTGAAAACAAGACTAACAAGACCGTGTCTGCCTTGTCTACAGAACCAAAGGCAAAAAATAAATTTCTTTTTCTCTCTCAGCACTAGTGGTATTGGTGCTAAAGTGACCATTCTCACCTGAGATGAAGGACACGTATGTAAACAAAAATGGGTACATCTGAGGCTTCCTACTTAACAAGATTACAAAAGAACAGGAACAAAACAGAGGTGATGGTTCTCTTATACCTGTGCACTTTTTGTTGGAAACAAAGGAACCCAAAATATATACTTTTTAAAATCTGAAGAGCTTAGTTACCTGTGACCACTAAATTTGACTTACTATTTATAGATAAATAATTTAAAATACCCAAAGAGTCAAATGCACTTCCCCCACCCCCAGGCTATTAAATTCTGATTTCTGGTATACTGTTTCTCTATCACTAACCCCTAATAAGGAATGAAATTTCCCAAACTAGGACCCCCCCAATAGAAAAATCTAATTCTGTTTCAACTTGGTCACCCCATGTAGAAGTGTTAGTTATGGTTTTAACTATCTGTGTTTTTACATGCATAAAGCTATGCTTTCTCCTTGCAAAATAAATGCAACCTTGAAAAACATTAGCACAGAGATCTATAGACTGGAAGGAATTTCATCCGTGCTTCTGTAAGATTTGAGTGCCTTCCCAGCAGCTGTGCAAAAATGTTCCCAATGTGGTCATTTACTGAGGTTAATCAAGGAGTCTTTTACATAGTCTTTAAAAAATTATGCGTGTAGTATAATGCATTAGTAAGTAGCAAAGACTTCTTTTGAGTGAAAAAAGCAAAGAATATAAAGTGTATGTTGACTGCAATGGGTTCCAATAAATATTACTATTTTGCTAGTTATTTGGGGCTTGATTATCTTGGCAACATTTATAAAAAAATGGAATTCACACCATGCAACTTAAAATTTAAGAGTAAATACATCTTTATCAGCAAAGCCAGCTTGCATAGGAATGGTGAATTAGAGAAACAGTACATCTCTGAACAAGTCTAAAATTCAGAGATTCTCATAATTCTAGGCAGTAGCTTTAAGATTAAATTTTATCCAATCCAATTTTCCTCTTTACATTCACCACATGTTAAATCTGGTCCCACAAAAATATCTTCATATGTGAAAACATATGCAGAGATTACCACATAGAATTTTAATTGAATGTCTCAACCAATCTCCAATCCCTGGGAAGCATAATTCAGGACAAGATCATATAGCAACTTAAGGGGACTAAAATGTTTCTGACCATGTCTTCTGCTCGACTGAAGCAATACAAAGAACTGGAGAAGAAAGGGGAGTTTAGGAGGAGTGTGAGTTGATAACTGTTAGAGCACCCAGGAATTGCAGGCTGTCAAAAGGCTTGCCTTCCCAACCTCAATTCAGCTGAGGCACATAAGTTCCCATAATGCAGTTCTGGCTTTTACCTTACATTTTTAATATTTTTTTGTCTTTGCATTTTAATATAGTTTTATTTGACTTTGATTAGCACCTACCCCTAAACCCCCAAATTCAACACATTCCTATTTAGGATAATCAAATGAACTGCTTTTAAATTAGTAACATTGGATAAACTATGCTTGTCATTCAATTCTGCAATATGTCACCACTAGAGGAAAAAAAAAATCATTCTTAATGCATCTTAACTTAAAAAAAAAAACACCAAGATTCCCCCCCGCCAAAAAAAAAGTCCTGAGCCAGCTCTGCTCAGGAATGCCACTCTAATTTTAGCCCGAGTGACACTCAACATTTAAAACCACAAATAATCCGTGCAAGGATAACTATGCTTTAAAAAAACATTTATATTGGATACTCTATATAGGACATGTACTTTTAAATACACTTAATAATATATGAGGGTAGAGATAACTCTGTGGGTTTTCCCCCTAAAAGGAAGCAGAGAGAGCAGAAACACATCTTTGGTTAACTCTTCCTTTAACATGCAAGATAAAATATTCTTACATAATGATGGCTGCTTATCTCTGAATCCTGATGTGAAATATTTGAGGCTTAACAAACTTTGCCAGTGCTTCTTATGAAAAAGCAGGGCAGCACAGTGGAAAGGTCAAGGGTATGATGGGGAGAACCAAAAGGGGAAAAACACATTCAAATGCCACTCTGACTTCAGTGTTGGTTTGGGGAAAACTCGGCAAAGATGCCAGCAGGCAAGTAAGATCAATACATATGCTACAATAGTAGCCACATCTGCAACAACAGCTCTTCAAAATGGATTATAACTAGCACAGTTCTGACTGGAGAGAACAGGACTTAAAGCAGGCTACTTTTAGCACAGATTAGCCAATACAACAAAATAAAAAATTATATAGCTCTGATATCAGAAGCTTATAAAGTACCCAATAAAAGTGAAGAAAGCAAAATGGAATGATAATAGGGATTCTTTTATCAATTCATGCTAACCTAGCATGGCATTCTCTTTGTCACTGGACTTAAACCGTGATCATCATCCCAGATTATCTGCTGTAACCATGACGACAGAACTGTGAGATTAACGTGACGAATCTTTGAACCAGTAATACAAACACTTTCAAGTATTTTTTCCTATTAAAAGCTCTCTTTAAATGAAAATTTAAACTACACTTCTAAAACCTGGCTTATTTGAGAACTGCCAACCCTTAGACCTTACATGGGGAAGGCAGAATCTGTCTGAGGTGTCACATGCCAAGAAAACATTTTCAGAAAATGAAGACGCAAGGCCCAAGTGTATTTGAGGCACGCAATAGAAAGGGGATTTCATCATCTGCGGTCTGTAAATTACAAATGGAACATGAGAGTGAATTGAATTTATACGTATATGTGTCTATATATATTTATAAATATTTATATAATATAATTTACCATGAAGACATGCAAATGTTATAGCAACTATTATACAATATAATACAGAGAGATCGGCCTTGCCAACATTACAGTTGCTTCAGGAACAGCAGGTATTCCCTACCTATTGCATTCCTCTATAGTGCTTGAAACCTAAAAGAAATTAAGGTTTCCTACTGTGCTACATTACTTATAGGAGACAGTACACACATGGAGAATGTTTTGTTTGTTGTTGTTTTTTTTAAGTCCAACATAAACTAAGAGAAAAGTTCAGTGCAGCTTCAGGGCTACATTGATGCAGCATCAGAACATATTTACTCAGAGAAGAAATATTCCTTTTTCAAACCAAGAGAATGAGGTTTGGCAACAAATACAAGGTTAAAGGAAAAAGCGCAGATGTTTGCTGGCAGGCAGAGATCAACAGCAAGCAGACCCATTTATCTGACCCTGATCAGGTTTCCACAACACCCAGCATGTCAGGGATAGGAAGTACAAAGATGGCCAATTCAAAGTCTGAGGTCATTTCATTTTGGCTGGTCCATTTTAGAGGGAGAAGCATATGATGGGAGGGTTCCCACCAAGGTCCTCCATAGTCACTAACTGAGACCATACACAAATTAGGAAGGGAAGCTTAGCATTATTAATCTGAGGCACAGGGGTATAACCTTCTAGAAGCAAAAGATGGGTTAAAAAGCCTCCAAAGATAACTAAGCCTGATCTTCCAGCTTTATTTCCCCAGATATTCAATTCTAGATATTAGGTAACTTATAAAATGTAAGGCTCGAGGATCATCTCCATCAACAACATAATTTATTCCCTTTTCTGGGGAGGAGGAGAAGGTAACCCTGAGATGTAGAAATGGAGAGACATCCCAGTGTTCCTTTCCCATTTACTCTTTATGGAAACATCTTGGAAGTTGATACTGAAAATAACTGGTGCTCCAAGGAGCTAGGGAATGAGGATTGGGACTATAGCAAGGTAAGCTTACAGGCAAGTGGGCTCCTCCACTTGAACTGTCATACCTCCTATAACCCTTCCAAGTTGCTGCTAGTGTAAAGGTTCAGGCTTCCAAATTAATCTGTGGACATTCCCCATCTCTCCTATGTATTCCAGAAAGAAGGTCTTTAGTTATCTGCCAACCACATAGAATGTACTGAACTGTACTGCTTTTGCCTCAAAGGACAATATGAGGGAACTAAGACATTCTCTGGATTTGAGATAGCTAAGGAAAGTCCTAGCAAACACTGCTAAAAGCTCTTTTAGTACATGTTAAAATATATATTTTAGAAGATGAGCCTGGTGAGAGAAGGGAGAATGAATTATGTGGTCAAGACAAGCTCACAAAGTTGAATTCCAAAGAGGTTACCTGGACTTAGAGCAAGATTACATAAAGACCCAACACACCATATGGACACATAAGCAAAGAACTCATCATTACTGGCTTCCAGACAGCATATTTTCTTAAACACACTAAAATGATCTGAGCGATGAAAATATTAAAGAGTTTTCAGATTTTGTTTAAGTAACCATTAAGTAAAAAGTAGGCCAAAACTGTAAACTTCATTCAGCCTCCTTGACAACTCTCTCTTTTTAAAAGCAGCTAAGAAATTAGAGATTACTGGACTTGGTGAGTTTCACCCAAATGAGTTTGCTGGACTGTCTCCTTTGCACGCAAATATACTCTTTGATTTCTGATCTGCTTGCTGCCTGCCTTTGGGTAATTCTTTGTCACACATTCTTTTCAGAAATAATTTATCATATGTTACTTTCTTTTGCAAGTGAAGGTCAACACTGATTTTTTTTTCCCCAAAATATACAGTACACAGACACAACATGCATCAGGTTTAGGAGGATTTCACACCTGTGATAGGGACACAGCTTGGTTCCTATCTGCTGAGTTTACTGGCTGACTTACTCTTCCCTGGGGGAGTTTTGGGACTGGCAGAATGGTGGTAGAGGCTGCCAGATCCTTTCATGCCATTCTTACTGGGTTTAAGACAGCAGTGCTCCTGTTGGCAGGACCTCCTCGAAGATGAGGATCCTGAGTGGCTGGGAGGTGATTTACTTCTCCCCAGATGTGGGGATGAACTCCTCTGGTCATGGTGGGGCCGTCCAGCCCTGGATGGTGAGGAACTTGAAGTGCGGGGCAAGGAAGAGCTTCGTGGGGAGGTGCTGGGACTTCTCCGAGGGACAACTGGGCTCTTGGGGGGGTGTTTTTGGACTGTGAGGGGAACCAGGACTCTTACACTGAGTAGAGCCCCGAGATTTCTGAGATCCATTTTGAAGAATTTGAGCCAGACGGGAGAAAAGGTCTGAATCAGAGTTGCTGCTCCCTAGGACTTTATACCTACGTAACCTTAAAAGAACACAAGAAGAATTATCTTGATATTCACTTCAGTAGGATATATAAAAATCTGCAAAGTGTAAATACCCCCAAATATGCAAAAATATACTTTACATGTGCCAAATGTTTGTGCCATTATAAGAACATACTGTTTCCCGGGTACAGAGGACTCCATTGTTCTGCTTTTATTTTTCAACATTTCAATATTTTTAGGAAATTTGGTAAGATTACATATATGATCATGCCATACTGGTTAAACCATTTAGTCTAAGGGTGTCTACATACATTGAAATCTTAACACGATGCTGTAAATCATCCATATGAATTGTACCCACGAAGAAGAATACAGGCTATAACTAAAAATGCTGCAGCCACATTTAGTAATTTATAAAATAAAAAAGCCATTTAATCCCAGTTTCCTTATCTGTAAAATGGTGGAGCTGGACTAAATGTCTCTTCACTTCTTTCTAGTGAATGTAATTCTATGATTCTGTTAACTTAATGGAACCTGTAAGAATTTTTGATACTATAGTGTTTGAAAACATGTGTTTGTTCGATAATTTAAATGTTATAAGCGGCTCAAAAGCCTTCACTTTGATTTATAAAACTTCAAATTGCTAAAGCTACCACTGCTATAACCTTATTAACTGGCACCTGAAAAATGACCTTTACGACTGTGTTAGCACCTGTAAGAAGCAAGGAACTTAGAAAGGACATTTGATAGTCACAGTCACTTAATGAGTCATCAACCACTTATTCACTTTCTGGGCTCCTCTTCCCTCTAATTCAATTCCCTCTTACAAGTGTCATGCTATGTTTGGGAGAGTGTTACGAACTTGCCCTCAGGGCTCAGCACAAATAGCACTATAATTAAAATTCATTCAACCTGTTGTTTTAGTACCATGACCCAACTGGGAGGCTTCCAGTATTTGGCTTCTGTGCTCTAAGTTACTTTATCCTATGTTATATTTAGCATAATGCTACCACTGGACCTGCTTACTCTGATTAGCAGGAAGTACATTGACTTTTGTGGCCTTAAAATGATAAACACTTTTACATTTATTTAGTTATTATATTGAATTCATAAGCAACTCACATCATAAATTCAACAAAGCAGTTTAACAGCTATTTGTAAACTGCCTAACATGTGCAAGGCACTGTACTAAACCCTGGAGAAACCAAGATAATAATAACACAATCCTTATACTCAAGAAGCTTCCTTTCTGGGGGCAGGTAGGTGGCACAGTGGATAGAGCACTGGCCCTGAAGTCAGGAGTACCTGAGTTCAAATCCGGCCTCAGACCAAAACACTTGACATTTACTAGCTGTGTGACCCTAGGCAAGTCACTTAACCCCAACTGCCTTAAAAAAAAACAAAAACCAAAAGAAGCTTCCTTTCTGTTGGAAGAAGAGATAGAACATGTTTGCACCTAGATGAGTATAATACAAGATAAGAAATAGTGAGGGCAAAGGAGATATCCAGATAAACCAGTAGAGGAAAATTTGAGGAGGAAAAGAATAGTGATGAGATCAGGGAAGGCTCTCTGAAGAGGTGGCCACTGAAGCAAGAGGCTCTTAAAGGTGGAAATGAGGAGGGAATACATTCCAAGAATTCTAAGAATAGGCCACAGCTGATCCTCTTGCCCCTTTGTGCCTTTGGTTCATACTTTTCCCTGATGCTTGGAATGTCCTTCCCATCCTCTAATCTATACCTAATAAAGTCCTATCCATCCTTTAAGGCTCAGTTCAAATGCTGCTTCTTCCATCAACTGATCACCCCTGATTTCTTCCAGACAGTAATAATCTTTTCCTCTCTTGGGTCTTACTTAACAGTTAGTTTGAGATTTACAAATAATTCTGTATTATAGCAAGATATGTATCATAACCTTAGGTTACTTAGGTTATGCTACTACATACTACTTGGGTTATAAGTTCCACAAGATTAGGGACCAAATAATATTTAATTTTTGGCTCTTCCTCGTGCTCTGCACATAAAAGGTGCTTAAGAAATAATTTCAGTTGAAGAGGTGTTAAAAGGAAAAGAGGGAAAATCTGGGTGATGAACCCTTGAACAAATCCTTCTGCTATCAAGAGAAAATGTATAGGTCCTAGGGCAAATCCTTAGATTTTAAAGTCTCATTTAAATGATTTCACTGTATTTATTGGTAGTGTGTGATGGAAGACATTCCCCATTCTTCCTGAGATTTGAAAGATGCTTCTCTTAGGTGTTGGTACTTTAAACTTAATGCTTAGTTACCCTTTCAGCTCATTATACAGGTGGACCCTCTATTTAAAAAACTTTAAAATACAAAAATCTCTTATACCTAAAGGGAGATTTATTGCTTACAAATACAAAGGTGAGATACTGCTTGTAATTTCAGATACTTGTTTTTTCATTTGTTCCAGCTTAGGGCCTCTTTCTCTTCCTTAGTGGTTTTTCTACCCTGGAAACCTCAGTGCTTCAATTCTCAAGAGAAGAAGTGTTTGATGTCACCCCATAATCTTCCTCCTTTCCTCCCTCTAAAACAGGTCTTAAGACTATCTAAAAATATAGTTATACCATAAATTGCAAATACAAAACAATGTTACACACAAAAACTGGTAAAATCTATCACAGGATTTTTTGTTTATGCGAATTCATCTTAATTTGATCAGGAAAGCACTGGGGGCCATCTGCCAAGATACAGAAATAGTTTGTTTTTTTTTTAATATAGAGCTAGACATTATAATGATATTTATTAAAATGATATTCTAGCTACTTATGGAAACATTTAGGCCTTAAAAATTACTCATGCTGCTGGAGACAGAAGGCATGAATATGAATTTCGCTGGCTAGGAGATGATAATCATAACTCAAATAGCACTTTCAGATTTACAAAGTGATTTCTTTACAACATCCTTGTGAGGCAGGTTATGCACATATTATTATCTACATTTTTAAATGAAGAAACCGAAATTTCAAAGAGCCCTTCACCTTCCCAGTGTCAAATAGCTAGAAAACGTTAGAACTAAGACCAAAACTCGTCTTCTAAAACCAGTACTCCTTCCACTATGCCGGGGGTAACAAAACTTTATTTAAAAAAAACAACCAGTTAAAAACCATTCTTAGCTCATGGGTGATGCTGACTCCTGTACTGTGCCATGCTGCCTATCACTTAAGAAAGCTTTCTTATAAACCCTGTAACACATACATACTCTGTCCTTTCGGTCTTACCTGGCTTCTACTCCAGGTCTAGTTGGAGGCTTTCCTGGTGGTGGCCGAGGAAAGAACTGAGCTGAGGCTGAGTTACTGACTTGGTCTGGGTTAGCCCAGGTAACTGGCCGTGGAATTTTACTCTTTCTAGCCTGGGAGCTGAGAGGTGACAGAAAGCCATCCTCAGCTGACCTGCTCAAGTGAGGGTCTATTGCCAGTCTTGAAAAGGGAGTGAAGACTTCATCCTCAGGAAAGGGAACAGGAACAGCAGCTAACTTCTCCTCTAGTGATTTGTCAGAGGCACTTGAGAGGTCACCAAGGAAGGACTTGAGTTGTCTTTTCTCCACCAGCAGCTTGATTAGATCTGGCTGATAAGCCTTCTTTTGAAGTAGTTTTTCTTTTGCTGAAACTGGAGAAGAGGTCTCAAAAGTTGAGTCTATCTCTTGTGCTAGAACAGGGATGCGACTGTGTCTAGTTATAAAGGATGATCTAATGACATCCTTCCTGGACGTAGGAGAATGTTCATTCTCTGAAATGCAATGGAACAACTCTCCATTTCGAGGGGAAATTTTCTCTTTCTTACCCTCTTGATGTAAAAAAGCAGAAAGATCCCCTTGGTGACTGGGCACACCTTCCCCCTTACTGATATCCTCATCTCTCTGTAACTTACTTTTTTGTACCACCACTTGATCTATCTGTCCTTCACCATGTGGGTGGATGACTCGCACTGGAGAAATTTCTGAAGCTGTACCTGCCAGAAGCTTCATTATCTCATGATTTGTGTCCTGATTTGGCACCAAGCAGAAAGTCTGTGTCCTGAATTCTTCAACAGGTTCAGGAGTAGGTGAATGCTCCCTTTCTAAATCTCCTGGAAGATTAGAAATCTCAATGAAACAGTGCCCTTTGCCCAATTTCTCTTCCTCATTGTCTGACCCCAACACAGTGCTCTTTTCTTCAGCTCCCACAGGGAGAGTCTCAAATTCTTTCGTGGCCACTTTGATGTTGTTATGGTTAGACAGCTCTTTTGGAACCGAATCTTGGGATTTGACACATTCCCTAGTGAGGCCTTCCCGCAGAGCGTTATCCTGACTTAGATGATCCAAGGGGAGCACCCAGTCTGTTCTGCTGGCACCACTAGGAAGTTCACCCTCTGTCCCCACCACACCAGACACATTTTCCCTTGGAGAGTAAAGTTCGACAGTGTGTTCCAGAGGCTGAAGATCCTTCTTCTCCAAGGGTTGGCCATAATGAAAGCTTCCTGAAGTGGACTGTGTGGATGCCACAGAGGGTCTGGGAATCGTGACCTAAAGTAGGAAAGTAAAGGAAAAAAGGAAAAGTATCAGCTAAAATTATAATTTAGATGGAGATCAGTATCTCCCACCTGTTCTGAGCAAGCATTTTCAGACCTGATGTGCACAGATAAGAAATATAGAAATAAAGGTTAAACATTAACTCTTTTAAGTTACACAACTCTTTTAACACAACAGCTGAGAATAAGGAACTAGCAAACATCTTTAGAAACTATAAAGAAAATAATCTTTTGGCAAGTAAATGTAAATATCCTGTGTCTTTATAAAAACAGGTACCAAGGGAGAAAGAGAGAAAAATACTTCTTCATTTTGTCACCTTGTAGGCAGCTGCTACTTATCTAAGCTTAATCATTGGTCAATGCCTCTGGTAAGTGCAAGACAAAGCAATGCCCTTCAAACTGTTATGAAAGATAAAAGTTCAGTCTCCAAGAACATCACATCTAAGGTTTCCCAAGTTTCTACAAATGTAGAGTTTGGAAAGGAAGATGATGTCAACAGACTAATAAAAAATAAGACCCATTCGTATAAGGGCATCGCTAGCCAAACAAGCTCCAAGTCCAATCTCCTTATTGGAAGGTGTTTGCCACACGCTACCTTTTCACCCAACTCCATGATGCCCATATCAAGTAGTATGCATATTCTGAGTAGGAGTTTAGTCCAGAGTAGTCTTAGGGATTCTGGCCTAGGGAAGTTCTCAAAGTCTGCTAGCTGTTATTCAGCATCCAAAATATTCCCATGTATTGGTAATTCAGATACTTTATGGTTTTGGGTGGTTTTTTTTTTGTCATTTTTGTAAATAGAATGTCTTTTTTTTTTCTTTTAAAGGAAATTGGAGTTAAGTAACTTGTCCAGGGTCAAACAGCTAGCAAGTGTCTAAAGCCAGATTTGAACTTGGTTCTTCCTGACTCCAGGGCTGGTGCTCTGTCCACTGTGACACCTAGCTGCCCCCTAGAATTACTTTTTTTTTAAAAAAATGCTCTAATTGGGGAATGGAAGAAAGTGAATTTTTGTGTTTACCTCATACCCTAATTGATACACTGCTGAACTCATCTCAATTTTCTATTACATATCTTATTTTTTTCTAGGTCCATATAAACATGTGCCTACTGCAAATAGTGATAAATAACTTTTAGTTGGCAAACCTTATCCCTCAGCTGCTCCCCCACTCCACATCTTACTGTAATCGCTATCATTGCTAGTACTAGATAAAAGAGAAGTGGTGAAAGTAGGAAACTGTTTTGTACCACTTTTTTGTGGGAATGATTTTATTTCTTCACTGTATGTAATGATGGTTTTTTTGGCTTCAAGATGTTTATTGTCCTGTTAGGGAAAAAATCCTTCTACTTCATTTATGATAAACACATTAAGAAATTCCTACTCATCCTTAAAGCCTTACTGAACTCCTATCTCTTTCATGAAGACTCTGTGATTCCATTCTGTCAGTAATGATCTCCCCTCACAGACCTTATATTGTTCTAAAAATGTATTTATGTTTTGTTCTAGGCAGATTATATATAATTTTTAATATATGACAATGTACTATATATAATACACAATTATATATATGTATATGTATATGTATTCATACAAAGAAAGAATTACTATGAATTATGCCTGTGTTTTTGTCTTACTGGTAGATTGTAAGTTCCAAGAAGGCAGGGACCATAACTCATATAAACTTTGAACCTCTACAAACAGTTCGGACTTGTTTGATAAATTGATATTGTTGAAAATTACCAAAGGCCATTTATACCTTTATATGATCTATTTACTTTTGTGATTTTTTTTGTTGATACAATGTTATACTGATCACTTTCCATCCTTAAATTCCTAGTGTTCCTAACTAATAAATCTTTATTAGTTATGATCCTTTAAAAGTATAATGCTGTATTTTATTTGCTAATATATAAATTAGCAGATTACATAATTTTCAATATAATTTTTTTGGTTTTCTTTTTCCCAGAAACTGTGCCTGGGAGGAGCTAAGCCCCTTGGCTTGGCACTTCTTGAGACCATGCAATCATCTTCATTTTATGCCTTGCCACTGCTTGTATACCCACTCACATCCCTTTCCATCTTTTTTTTTTTTTAAACCATTCCCTCTGGAAAGACCAGATCAGTTGTCCCACTCACCATCTTTGTGATTTCCCATAACATCCTTCCAGTGGCTACTATTTGCCTATATGTGCTGTTTGTCTATAAGGATGACAGCAGGAACTATTTCAATTTTGTATTTGTATCCCCAGCACTTATCACAGTGCTTAAAACCTAATGAGGGCTTAATAAATACTTTTCATTCATTCAGTGTTTTTTTTTCCCCTTAGATTTTAAAATCAAAAAATTTTTGACTTTCAAAAATAACTAAATATCATACACTTAAAACTTTGTACATAATGTATATCACACAGGGATTACTTCTTTCAAAGTTTAGAGGAAAAAAATTCACCCACCCATCCCTCTGGCTCATGTGTGTGTATGTGAATTTTACAAGGCAAATCACTAATGACCTTTATTTTTTCTTCTGAGATTAGTCTGCTTAAGTCATCTATTTTTTGTGTCAGTTTTCGTAATTTTTTTTGTAAATACTCTTCTGTTTCACTTAAGTGCTCCAATTTATTCACCTGTACATAATGCGTACGTGTTCATACATATACAATGTACATAATTTGTACATATTTTCATACCATGTTCTTAATTCTGTCATCATTTCAACTTCTAATTTTGACAGCTTGTATTTTCTGTCTCCTGGATCCTTAGCACTGATATAGTCTACAATTTTCCCACTGTTCTGTCCATATCTTCTTAAGCTTCTATTTCCTACATTTCCTTCTTGGTATGGCTATAAAGTAATCAGATTATTTGATTTCTGGGACTTGGTGGAAAGTTTACACTAATTACTTAATGGATGCATAAATCCCAAAGATGGGGCCACGGGGAGTTTACTCACTGATGTTTTAAGATTTATATTGAAATACATAGCATTAACAGCATTAAGAAAAACACGACCCCAAGTTAAGAAGCTCTGGTTTACACCCATATTTTCCAGCAACTGGATCAAAGATCTAAAGATTTTAAAATAGGAAAAAAAAGAACACTATATTTATCTCAGTTGTGGAGAAGAGTATTATGGTAGAGTAGAAAGAAGTCAGAGGAGCTAGGTTCCAATCCCACTTGTGATGTTTATTATTTGTCAGATTGTGGTCAAGTCATTTTGTGCTCCCATGGGGCTCAGTTTCTTCACTATCAAATGAGGACAGTTCAACTTCATAACCTCTGAGGCACCTTCCAGCTTTAGATTTATGAGTAAACATCTACCTATCAAACAAATAGGTTTGATTATATAAAGGAAACATTTTGCACAACAAATTCTAAAAGAAAAACAGATTTTTAGAAAAAATCTGTGTAGTAACAATATGTGATAAAAATCTGACATTCAGAATACATAAAGAACTCCACTGGATAACTGATTAAAGGGAATGGACAATTTTTTAAGAATGAAAGTGACTGCTATCACTTGAGAAATGATCACTATTAATGAGAGAAATGTGAAGTAAAGTAACTTTAAGTACAACTTCATATTCATACAATTTCTAAAACTAGTTTAAATTATAACATTTAATATTTAATATTAGTGCAACTTGGGGAATTGTTACAATTGGGGAAACAGGTATTCTAATGTATCATAGATGGAGCTGTAAACTAAGTGTAATTTAAAAAACCCAGCAAGGTCCCTTGTATACTAAAATATACTACTCTTTTTGTGGTAGGAAAAAGCTCATCATTTGAAGAAGGACATAACAAATTGTTGTATACAAATGTAACAGAATAATAATGTAATTATTGCTCTGAGAAAAAAGATGAATATGAAAAGTTCAGAGACATAAACAAAGGAATATTTGAATAAACCGATGCAATCACTACATCAACATGCATTTATTAAATAGAGCTAGGTGGCACAGTGGATAGAATGCTAACTCTGGAGTTAGAAGGACCTGAGTTCAAATCCAGCCTCAGACACTTACTAGCTGTGTGACCTTGGGCAAGTCACTTAACCCTGTTTGCCTCCATTTCCTCATTTGTAAAATGAGCTGGAGAAGGAAATAAGAAACCACTCCAGTATTTTTGTCAAGAAAACCCCAAATGGGGTCATGAAAAGTCAGATATGACTGAAAAATGACTGAACAACACAACGAAACAATATGTGCTAGGCTCTATGCTAGGCACTGTGGGTATAGAGGAAAAAAAATGAAACAATCCTTGCCTTCAAGGAGATCATATTCTATTGGGTGAAATGATGTGAACATAAGTATATACAAGGGGTGTGTGTGTGTGTGTGTGTGTGTGTGTGTGTGTGTGTGTGTGTGTGTAACTGGGGAAGGCACTAGTGGCTGGGGGGAATAATAAAATGCCTCATGTAGGAGGTAGGGATGGAGCTGAACCCTAAAGAAAACCAGGGATTCTGTGAGATAGTGGTGAGGACACAGGACATTCCAGGACTAAGGAACAGCTCATTCAAAGACATGGAGCCTGAAGGAGTACTGGAGAGGAACAGCAAGGAGGCCTAGACAGAGTACATGAAGGAGAGGAAAGGTAGGGTGAAGGAGGGCTGTGAAGGGCTTTGAAGGACAGCAGAGTTTGAAAACACATGGAATTTAGTTGAATAGGAGAGTGACCAGGCTTAAGATTTGTGCTTTAGGAAAATCATTTTGGTAGCTAGGTAGTGAGAATGGACTGGAGAGGGGAAGAGAGTGGAGGCAGAGTGGTAAATGAAGACACACATCTTGTATATACTTACATTTACATTGTTTCACCCAGTAAATAGTAGTTTAGACAAGATTCATGAGGGCTTGAGGTGTAAGTAGATGGATGTGAGAGATGCCGTGGAGGTAAAACTGATATGCCTTGGCAACTGATTGTAGAATGAAGAAGAGTAAGGAGCTGAGGAAGACGCTGGTTGCGAACCTAAGTGTTATTACATAGATCAGAAGAGGGGA